TTTTTTTAGCAAGGGCTTCTGGACGCCATATTTCCTGAGTTGTTTTATTTTTGGGAAATGTTGCTTATTTCCTTTAATTTTGGAAAATAACTTTTCTATTGCCATTGTCTTCTAAAGAGGCTATACCAGTTTCTACTCTAATAGCAAATCTATGAGAATGCCTGTCTCAAATGGGGAACTTTTATTTAAGAATTATCTGTTTGCCTGAAATGGTGGAATTATATTGAGCAGTGGGGGAAATAAGTTGGAGTTGGTAAATTGGATATCAGATTATAGAAACACTTGAATGTTGGGAAATTGGCTCTTTTCTTGGTGAATTTCTCATTTCCTCACCAAATTCGCAGCTTGCCTGCAGGCCAAATGATAGCTACTGGACAGCTTTGCTGAGCTGTTTTCAAGACTTTGTAAATTGTGCTAGAATCCTCTTAAAAAGCTTCTCCCCAGCCTTCCCCACTCTCTGTGAAAAAGCATCTGGCTGGCTGAGGGTGGTTTTTGTTGCCATCTGAAGATGGTAGAAAGTGGGAAATATTTACATCTACCAAAAAAATTAGCATCTGATAATTGAACTGATAATCTATATATATTTTTTTATTGTTCCAAAATATGATCTTTGTTTCACGTCAGGGACTATTTTCTTAAAACCAAGTAGCTGTTAGGAACCATTCCTAAATGATACATGGACTTCACACATCTTTTTGCAGCATCTTAATGGTTTTCGACTGTGGCTGTATGAGTCATAGGGTCTGATCCTTTTAGGGAAGCTCATCTCTGTTCTCACATAGTTGGAACTACCACTATGTTGAAATTGGGCTTCACACTAAAAATCTCTGCTGGCCTCATGTCAGAAACGAGGAGCCTGTTTCACCCTGTAATTCCTTCTCTCCAAACAGTGGAGGGGATGGAAAAGAAAATTTCCCAAACGACTTAATGCATTTAGGTTTTGGCCGTCGTACCTTACGGTGACACAGCCGGACGTCAGCCATGGACTTGTTTGCAGTCGGTTAGTGAGAACACACCTGAGAGATTTCAGGAGGCAGAAATGTCCGAAGGTGCTCTCGCTTTAGAAGGGTGCCGTCTAAAGCCATGCTGTCCGATATGGTAGCTACTGGCCATGTGTGGCTATGTAGATTTAAATGATTTAAAGTTGAATCAAATTTAAATCAGTTTCTTAGTTGCATTGGCCACATTTCAAGAGCTCCATAGCCACATGTAGCTAGAGGCTACAGTATCAGATGGCATCTAAGGTTCTATTGAATAGCTCTGCCCTGTATTCTGATCTTTTATTTCATAATCATTCAGCGTTCGTTACAGCCCTAATGAGTTGGTCTCCTGTCTTTTTTTCCCTTCCTCCTTCTGCTTTCAGTCTTTCTTCTGCCCTCACTCACTTGATAAAGCAGCGGTCTCTATATTAACGTGCCCGAATCCTCTGGTTTCGGGGCACAGATCTCCCTCAGGGAATCCTATGTGTGGTCCAGACTAGGATCAACTAAACAAGCTCTGTGGCCAACGCCCAAGAGTTAGTCACTGTTCTTACCAAAGGATTGACTGAGACTTGGGGGTTCTGGAGATTTTGACTCTTTACTAATAAAACTGCTCTTCAGCAATATATTTAAATGTATCCACTTAGGACTTTTACTCCTATTCCCTCTTCCCCTTCTGGATGTGTGTTCTTGATGCAGAGTCCAGCCCTGGGTTCTGTCCTAGTTGTATCCCCACTGGCTGATCTTAGAGAATTTCTTTGTGGCTCAGTAGCCTGTTGAGAAGTCACTCCCAACTACCACTTAAGCTATAGAAGATAAATGCTAAATGAGAAATAAGAAATTTTGAGGTTTGCGAAAAGGCATGTTTAAAGGGTTCTCGGGGTTTATTTTCCTTAGGGGTTTGTTTATCTTTTCATCTTTGTGCCCAGTTTTAGATTTCCAATGTCCTATTTGTGGTCTCTCTATCACTAGCAGACACACACCCACCTTGATCAGCTAATCAGTCCATTCACTCCACTATGTGCTTCACATAAGTGACTTTCTAAGGGTGGTCTGGGTTTGTTGACCAAAGAGCCCTTTTCCAAGTCAACCCAACATGACAGGAATGGGACACTGTGGTAAGGAGGAGCCTGCCGGCCTGAAGGTCAGGAGAAAGGGGCCTTACTGCTGATTGAACTGAGTCTTTTCGACCCTGTGTTCTTATTTTCCTACCTGACTAGCCTGAGGTCAGCCAAGTGTTCCTGCCTAGTGTTGTAGTTATGTAATACTGTGTAGCAAACAACCCCTAAACTTGGTGGATTAAGACAATGACATTTATTTAGCTGTCATATCTGCCATTTGGGCAGGACCCAGTGGGAAGAGCTGGACTCTTCCATTCAGAAGGCTGGCAGAGCGGGTAACAGTGCTCGTATGTCTGGGAGCTGAGCGGGTCTCGGTTCTTTTCCAAATGGGCTCCTCCATGTGTTCTCTACACATTGCTAGTTTGGGCTAAGTTGAAGGGAGAGCATCCTGAGAGAAAGAGCATCGAGTGGAAGCCGTATTACCGTTTCTAACATAGCCTCGGAAGTCACACAGCATTGCTTTGGCCATAATCACAAGCCCACTCAGGCTCAGGAAAAGGGAGCAGAGATCCCACCAATCAATGGAGAAGTATCAATATTGATTGGTGATGAGACATATATTGGTCTTGTCATCTTTGAAAACTACCACACCTGGTCATGATGAATCAGAGTTGGCATCAGCTCTCTCCAAGCCGTAAATAAGCCTCGAGGTCTGGTGGGGTCTGGAAATAGAGGCACTTCTCATTTTCAGGAGATATTGTCATTGCTCTGCTGGGGCTACTCTGCCTTTGTGCTTAAGGGTGGGGAGTTGCCATTGGCAGAGCACTGGGGCCTCTGATGAAAGATGCTACCTAAATACAAAATGGCAAATCGAAACACCTTCAATATGCCAAACCCCTGGAGTCAACTGATGTTTACAAGGAATGCACAATGTATGGAAATTCAGAGTGAAGATCAGGGCCCTGGTTGCTGAAAACTATCTTTAAAATTAATTTGATGGAATCCAGTGAGACTTTTGAAAACATTATTTACACCTCCCATTTTGACTTCGGTTCTTTCATTTGTAATTTCTGTTACTTCTTACTCTTTTGTAACATTCTCATTTGATGCAAACTCAAACAATTAGGATCCATTTTTCTACAAAATTTTTAAGTTTGATAAATGGGTATTTTAGAATATTTCTTTTCCTATTTCTTAGATTAAATAAATTTTAGTAAAAGCAGGAGGGGGAGGGGACACAGGTCATCATATCAGTAGATAACCTGACACATGCCAGTCATAGGAAATTAAAAACAAAAACAGAATAAGACACAATCTTCGAATTGCTTCTGATCTATATACTCAACTGCAAAGTAAAAAAAAAAAAAAAAACCCAAAAAAACCCCAAAAAACCCCATTGTATTATTAGCAGTAAAGAGATGCTTTTACATTTTTCTTGCCTTTGGAGCTCTAGTCTACCATTAACCACAAGTTGGTTTTTAACCTGTTTTCTCTGCCTTTTTCCTTCTATTTCACCTTGTTTTTTTTCCCTCAACTTGTATAGTTTTAAAATGTTGTATATTCATTTTTTTTTTTTTTGCACCAGTCCTTCCCCTAGGAGTCAGTAAAACTTCCTGTACCCTTTCTTTCTTTCCACCTACATTTAATAAACTAGTGATTCCTCACTTCTTCCAGACTTCTTACAAGGCATTGTTTATTATTGCCCCTGCATTCTAGAAGGGCACACCAAAATGTATCTTGGGAAATTCATCTTAGAGAATTTGTTTAAGCTTAGATTCTCAGTCCTAGGGTTATTTTTAGGGAGGCAGAAAACCAAGCTCTAAGTGTGTACATCTGATACATTAGATATTTAGTTTCTTGTTATTTGAGAGTGGTCGGTTAGCGCTTATGGAGCATTATTCATTCTTGGCTTCATGTTTACACTTCTGAAAAGACTGATTAGTAACTTTTTATAGGAGATAGAGAAGTTTTTTAAAATTCACATTCGCATTTCACAGTGACTCAGTTGATAGTCTTTTTAGATAAGTAATGAAATGCAGTCTGTGGTTGCCAATTGTTAAAACTCTACTCTGCTTCCTTTAGCGGTTGTCAGTTAAGAAAGGATAGCAACACCCACTGATAAGATTCAAACCACAAGATGTTACTTAAAGTGCTTGAGGTGTGCTCTCTCTTTTTGCCTTGTAAACGGCTCAGTCACATCCTGCTTTGCATTTTAATTTGATGTAAATTAGATACGTAAATCTAGGGCTAGCATTAGATACTAACATGAAATTAAATACTAAAAAAAAAAAAACAGTTCTGTGGCATAAACCTTTCTACAATTTCTGGATGGACACGAGATCAAGGGCAGTTCTTAACCCTTACTGTCCATCAGAATCACCTGGGGAGCTTGTCAGACTGTCCATGGCCGAGTGTCTGGCTGCATCGGAGGTGGCGTGGGCCCGGGACTTCGGTATTTTGTAGAAGTTCCCCAGGGTGACCCTGACATGCAGTCAGCCTTGAGGAATATTGCATAAAGTGCCCTCCCCACCCTCCACATTCCTCTCTGCTGAGTCGAGAGTCCTGCCCACATCTTTAAGGCTCCCCGCAGGCCACCTCTTTCAATATTTCCCTGGGGACTCCAGCTTCACTGAGCTCTTCCTCGTGTCCGCCCACAACACCCTGAAGTGCGTTCTGTTTCATGTACATCTCTCTCCTTGATCAGAGTGATTTCCTCCTTGGATTAAACTTCTGTCATTTAGTTGCATCCCGTAGGGGTTAGCACAGCTGTGGACACATAGTAGGTAGATCTATATCGAGTTGACTTTTTATCAGGGGGGCTGTTCTCCTTTAGGCTCTTGACTTTGCACTATAGCTTCCTTTATTAGCCCACATTTATCCACATGTGCTTCTTCCTCTTGAGACATGGAAAAATACGTGGAAGTGGCTAAACGGCAGAAAGAGGAGGAAACTCAGCCCATTCCTGATTTGACCGTTCAAGAGTCGGGGGATTGTCACTGACCTCTGGACTCATCCCTCTCCAATCAGTCATCCTGTGCTAGAGCGGCTCTTGGGACCACATGGGTGAAAATGCAGCATGGAGGGGGCTGCCCTGCTGGAGAAGGTGAACATGACTGAGGAATCTATTTCTACTGTAAGTCCTATTGTAGAATACGGGATTATTTCTAGGGATATACTCCTAGAACTTGAAAACAGAAAAGAAAGGGAGAATGGATATAGGTAAACAATAAGCCAGGCACGTGTGATAACTTGCCAAAATATCAGATCTACCACTTATCACCCCTGTTCATTGGTTTGGACAAAAATATACTAAACTGTCAAAAAGAAACTTCGGATATCTCCCTAGTTCTATCCTAGTCATGATAGAAAACTGGAGTACTTGAGGGACATGTGTGGTATTTCTACCTTTCAAGGGAAGGTAGACCATGAGTCGGAAGAGGACAGGGAAAGTGTACAGGGAACTGAGGCAGATGGTGTTGACAAACAGAGTTTGGTTTGCGGGGCAGGTTCTTGACATCTTTGAGGACCAGTGTGTTTGGCAAGAGGTTTGCTAACCTGATCAGGAACATTCAACTGAGATTTGATGGGAAGGAAAAAACATTAAAACTTGATTGAATGAAGAACAATGGGTAGAAAAGATAAGACCAGTAACAGAGGAAGAGACCTTTACTCACTCATAATAAAAAACACCTGGGAGCATGGTGGTTCTAGTACCTATAGTTATTCACCATTGTGCAGCCTCTGAGGACTGAGCAAAGGAAACTTGAAACATTAAAACTTAGAGATAGATAGGATCATCTGATTTGTCTCACTTAGTAGGTTAGGGTGGTTCTCATGACTGAAATATGATTCTAGAAGAGAATATTTGCCTTAAAGAAGCATACCTATGGCAATCCAGACCCTAAAGGTGAATTGCTAGGTAAGGGGGGTTGGGAGGGGTTGCTAGGATAGTTTGTTACATTAGGATCAATATTATGAATCCTATAATTCATAATATTAAGATTATGATATTATCCTGAAATTATAGATGATGAAATTATAGATGATGCTTTCTCTTCAGAGACCAGAACTCTAGAATGGATGCCCAGCATGTTGACAGAACAAGACACGATCTTCAAACCCCTTGGAAGTTTCATTTTGCTAACTTCCAATAAACTCTTGACTTATTTTGCTAATCATTTGATTTTTAAGAAGACTGAGAACATAAGACAAAGAGATATTTCTGAAAAGAATCAAAGAAACATTAGCCAGTGATATAAAATGACAGGAACCAGGAGATGAAATCCCTAAAGAAGTCATGTGCTCTAGAAATATTTCAACAAATTCAAACAGAAGAAAGAAATGACCCTCTCAGGGCAAAGACAAAATGCTAAAGAGACCTCAGAAGGAAAGGATAGCTAAAATGTTCTGAAACATAACCCCAAGTGATTCCAGTGAAGAGGAAAGGAGGAAGGCTCCTATGGGAATACGTAACCGTGTTCACCCAGAAAACTTTTTCCTGTTAATGCAGATTAATGAAGGGTATTCAATATGGCTCAACAATTAGCGCTCCCAATCTTTGTAAGCTACTCTCCCACAGAATGTAAAGATGAGTGACATGCAGTCCCTGGGTGACGTAGATGTTAAAACATCTTGTGGTCAGGCTATGAAGAATGAGTCAAATGCAGGGAACGCACAGCACAGTTTCAGAGAGCACGAAAGTAAAACCAAGGTTCAGAAGAGAAACAAACGAGGGATGGAGGCAGCTTCAGAAAAGGTTTCATGGAGAAGGTGATGCTTGAAATGCTCTTTGGAAGGTAGAGAGAATTTCCACAGGTAGAAGAGAGAAATAGAGTTGAGTATTCTGCACAGAAGGGCTAGCAAGGTCCAGGCAGAGCAGTATAATTAAAAGAGAGTGTAGAATACAGGGTATGTTTGTGTGAGTTTTGGAGAGAAGGTATGAGTAATAACAGCTAAAATATAATTGAGCGATGATTGCCAAGCTCAGTGTTGAGTGTTTTACGTGCACTATTTCAGTTAAACTTCACAAAAACTTAACCCTTTTCTTTTCAGCTGAGGAAACAACTCAGAAGTTTAGTGACGCTCAGTAAATAGTAGACAGAGCCAGAGTCTAAAGGCAGTTAAATTTAACGGTATGTGAAGAGCTTAGGATTTTTAACTTAGTTCTCTGACCAGTGGGAATTTGGAGCAGAGAAAAGACCCTGGAATCTTTTGGGGGAAGATAAACTGGATGAAGGAATATAAGATGGGGAAGTGATGGAGAGAAAATGTGGAGACCCCCCAACAGGGATCTAAAATGGGTTGGAGGTTGTGAGCAGGGAAGAATGGAAAACAAGTAGGGGGTGATGAGGGGCGGGTCAAGACAGAGGCGTTCTAGCTCTGCATCACAGTTTTAGGGGATCTGGGAGAGGGAGTCTGGGTGGACTAGGGGAGCGGTGGGTGTCTTAATCGGAGTGCGGAAACTTTCTCTTCAAAAAACATCAGGAGTCAAAAAAATTATTCCAAGTCTACTTATTTCTCATCTTTTCCCTAAAGAACTCCTAACTGATGAGAATTGAATAAATATCAAGAAGAGGAAATTGAAACCCAAGACAGGTGAAGGCATGAGCAACAGGTAACCTGGCTGTGAGTAACAGGGCTCTAGGGTTCCCGTTCAGCCCCAGACACGCCAGGGGCTGAATCACGTCCGTCTTCACAGAACCTCTGAGAATAGAGTGTGCCGGATGAGCGAGATCAAGATGGGTATCAGAAGCCTAAAAATGTGTAGATGCTGTCAAGATTATTAGAAAGAGAAAGGAAACTTCTGAAAACTCTAGACCAATGATTCTCAACCGTGGCTGCACACTGGAATCCGATGGGAAGCCTTTACAAATACCATTGCCCAGGCTCCACCCCCAGAGTTTATGATTAAGATGGTCTAAGCACATTATACCGCCCCTTAGGATGTTCTTTCAGCCACCCAGGGGTTGGAAGCACAACTCCATACTGATGAGTTCTGCCCATGACTGCAGAATTTTTGAATGTATCATTACTAAACAGGTGAACAGTTCACATTTAGAAAAGGAGCCAGTTTGTGTTCACTGAAGACAAGACATGCTTGTGGTTAGGTAACTGGATCATAAAAATACCAGACACAGTAGATCTTATTTCTGCTAATTGACACCTGAGGACTGGGGAAGGGTTACCCCCAGCTCAGGAACTTGTCTCAGGTATGGCTGAGATGGCATGATAGGTGAGATTATGACGCTGGGAACTACGGGTTCTTGAAGAGTGTTTGGTGAGAATGTGATAGCTGTTGAGGAGGACGCAGCTTGGTAAAGTCGAGCAAACAACAAAAGCTACTATGCCGAGGGAAGTCTGCGTTAAGGGACTCAGCATTGGAGCAAAGCCCTGGCCATTGGTGTAGCCAGCCAGTGCTGCCCGACGAGAGTATTTATGAGCAGAAAGCTCCTTTTCCAGTGTTTAGGGAGGGAGGGTGTCAGACTAGCACACCACACGTAGAGGGATAGGTTCTCAGGCCTAAATTCTCAGTGTCTAAAAGCCAAGAACAAGCCAGTCATTTCGGAGTGGCCCTCAGATACTAAGCCTTAACATTTTCTCATAGAGGCCCTTTAAAGAAACCTTTGTCTTGCATAATTGGTATGGCCATTTTGGGGAGCAATTTGGAAAACCTAGTAAAACTAAAACTAGTTCTTGCTTAAGATTCAGCTGTTGCACTTATTTTAGAAAATTAAGCCACAGCCTCACAAGGAGCAGGTCCTACGGCATCATTTTTAATAGCAAAGAATCTGAAACAACCTAAAGGAAGAATAAAGTAAACATGGCATAGTCACACTGTGAAATTGGTTTGCAGGAATGAAGTAGAGTGTGCGTGTTGTGTGTGTCTGTGTGTAATAAGGTTGAGTGAAAATAAGCCAGATACAGAAAGAAATGTATGGAATGATACTATGTATTCTGCAAAATTTTTAAAAATCCAGAAAAATGATGTATATATATGTTTGTATAAATACAGGTGGAAACCTGTTAATTTTGGATGACAAGAATATGGATATTTGTATATACCCTTTTCATTTTTCTGCTTGAAGAGACAAGCAGCCACTGTGATGTTGTGCACGACAGTGATTGCTACATCTTACATGAGATAACTCATCGAGAGATGACTGTCCTATCACCCTTTATATGCTTTTATGTGATTAGCTGATCTAAACATCTCAACAACCCCTTTGGAGAGAGCCTCTAGTTATTTCCATTTGTCAAATGAAGACCCGAGAGGCTAAAAGCTTGCCTAAAGCCACTTAGCAAGCCTGGCTTTGAACCCAGTCAGTTTGAATCCAAAACTTGTAGTCTTAATTATTATACTACTCTACAAAATTTCCCAGTTATCATCGTGTGTGTTGGTTATTTACTTTTGTATATGTAATCTCCTTGGTTGTAGGTCAAGGGCGTAACGCTAGAGGCAAGTGCAGGAAAAGCATTTCTTTAGAGATGAGAATAGTGCATTTCTACCAACTCCTCCGTCTGATGATGTGGCCTGAGCTAGGCGCATACATTATCTTATCTTTGAGATCATTTCAGTGGCTCTCAGCCCTGATCCTGCATTGGAATCACCTGTGGAGGTTTTAGGAATGTCAAAGCCTGTCCCCATCCCAGATTCTAACATAACAGATCTGGGACGAGGCCTGGGCATCAGCATTTTTAAAGTTCCCCACATAATTCTAAGGTACAGAAAGAGTTGAGATCTACTGCTCTATGAAGTCTGGACAGTACAACTTTCAAGGTTAAAATGTTTCAAGGTTAAAATCCAGCCTGGAGGGTGGATATTTCATTTTGAGGATCAAGGACAGATCTGTGAGTATTGACTCCTATGGCCAGACTGCCGTTAATGTCTTAATGAAAATAAGTCTCCTAATCAGGATGAGGGACCACATAGACCTCTGCACACCCCACTACGACCATGCAGACCTCAGCAGGACAGGCTCTCTCTGGCAAACTATCTCTTGTCTGGAGAGCTGTTCGAGAAAATGTGCCATGATGATTAAGCGTGGGAGTGGGGACTGGAAGCACATGTGTCTGGTATTTGCCATCCCTGGCTTGAAGGAGCAGCTAAGTAGCGGGACAGAATTGTCCTTAAAA